ATATGACCTCGGAATTCACGTACGAGGTCCTGTTCTCTTGCATTAAGGAAGACAAGAAATCAATGCAACGTTTCGATCCTTGTCTCAAAGCGTATCTTGACCCATTTTTTACATTCCTATGGCAAGATGACCGACTATTTCCGTAGACCGCGGCACTACATACAGCCCACACCACGTGAAATTTTATGAGGATTCCAAATATGTCCCCGGTTTTGGCCTGTCAGGTCTGGTTTCTGATATCAAGAGCGTATAAAACACCTCTACATGCCTTTTTTGACAACAGAGTTTCCACCCGCTGCCTCACGGCGGCTGTCTGCCTGCCTGCCAGCTCAGACTGCGGCCACCTCCTGCCTGCCAGCTTGGACTGCCCGCCGTCTGCCTGCTTAGCATGGGGATGCCCCACTCGTTAACCATTCGAGGGCTTTCTTTGTCGCCGCCAACAAAAACTTCTTCATAATTATTATTAATATTTTACTCTCCTCATGTTATCAAACATTGTTAGTCAAGGTATAGCGGATGCGGTTTGTAGTGATACACGATGACTGCAGCTGAAATCGGCTGAAATCGATCCATACGACGCGACGCCCCGAAAGCGGGTAGGCAACCCGCGCACACGACGCATGCGTGGGGCACAGTATAACCTCGGGATCCGACGAAGTTTGCACTACATCATCCTGCTGTTCTGACACTAGCTCGAGAGAAGAAAACGTTGAAGAGGTGAAATATTAGTACATAAATACAGAGCCAGTTTACCCAAGTCCGTCCAGCGAAATAAATGTGCCGTGTCCAGCAGCCGCAGAGCGTTCGTCGGCCTGGAACTGCCTGGAACTGCCCATTCCAGAGGACTGCTTCGCAATAAGAGCAAGGGCATTATTGCCGTGTGTGCGTGTGTGTGTGTGTGTGTGTGTGTGTGTGTGCGTGTGTCAGTATGCACGGCGGAAAGGGTTATAAACAGATCGCTTTGAGTGAAAGTGCGTTCTGTTCTGTTCCCCGACACGTCTGCTAATTGAAGGGCCCCGCAGGGTAACGCGAGAAAAAACAACACCAGCAAAACGGCGTCGTCTTGTTGCAAATTTTTTAAAAAGATTTTATTCATAGGCGATCGCTTGCAGTAACGTATAGTTGTAAAAACTCTTAAAAACGGTCATCAGCTGCTCGTGTCGCTTATTTTGTGCGGTATCGGTTTTCGAGAGTCGTTTCGTTACTTAGCCGTGGGAAATGAATGCCGTGAGCACGAGGCAGACTACACTGCGGAAGGACAAGGCACACACGCCACACGACTCCGGCAGAGGAGCGCCCTCTACTCTCCCGGTGCTCTCTTCCTCTCCTCCTCCTCCCCTTTTCTCTCCGCCGCCGTGGTGCAAAACATCCCCGAGGCCCTTATCGTGAGAGAGAGGGCACGACGTACAGCCGCCAGCGCTGCAGCGTAACCTGACGTAGCCGTGCCCGTGACCCTACCCTTCCCCTCCCCTGCCCATTCAGCAACAGGCAGAAGGGGGCGGGGGGAGCGGCGTGGGGTATACCTCACGGGGAGAGTTGGACCGACCGCGCCAACCCGCGCGTGCGCGTGTGTGTGGGAGAGGGGGTGGGGAGCAGGAGCCCATGGTTGAATATGAATCCGAATCTAAAGTTATTGGCACGTCGGGTCCATGAAAATAACATTTGCATAAAGGCGGGAACGGATTCGGGCATGGCAAGGCAAAGCCCTGATGCGGGTGGCAGGCCACGGTGCGCGTGCGGCCATGAAGGGAAGGAGGGAGCCTGAGAATGGAGTGCCGTAACTTATACCATTTGATGATCGAATAAAGTTAAGTATTGTTGTTCTACCGCCCACTGTATGTTCAATTTTTAAAACCGCACCCACGCCCTCACAGCCTCGAGCTGCACAAATATTATCGATGCTCGACGGGATTCTAGGGAAAGAACAACCTGTACAATTCCTGCTGACGGATATTTTGTGTTTTTGTTCGTGTGCGTTCACTGCAGATGTGTGTGAGTGGGTCTGAGTGAGTGCTTTCCAGTTCATTCATAGTTTGGGCGCAACGCGTGCGCCTCGTACTTTTAATGCGGTCACATGCAGTCGCTTGCCGACCGTGTCGCGCGCGCCCCTTTCCCGGACCCCGGACGTGCCCTGTTGTCCAGGGCCGGGTCTGGGCCTGGGTCACGTCCCCCGGAGCTCGCCTCGCCACTCTGTTTTTCCTGCGGGACTCGCCTGCGGGACTCCGCCTCGGCGGAGTCCCCCCTCGGCGGGACTCCAGCGGGACACCAGCGGGACACAAGCGGGACTCCAGCGGGACACAAGCGGGACACCAGCGGGGACACCCGCGGGGACACCTGCGGGGACACCAGCGGGGACACCAGGAGGACCCTAGCGGGATACACCAAAGGGGATACCAGCGGGACACCCAGCGGGACACAAGGGTATACCAGCAGGACACCAGCAGGACCCCAGCGGGACACCAAACGGGATATCAGCGGGATACCAGCGGGACACCAAGGGACACCAAGGGATACCAGCGGGACTCCAGCGGGTCCGCGTCATCCGTGGAGCTCAAAGGAATAGGGAAGGAGGCTGTCTGACCCGATCACATCACTCTTTACTATCTACCTTTGTTACGTCAAGGCTCTGGCGTGTCTGGGCCTTCCAGTCCAGGGACGTCACCGGATCTGTTTGTCCTTGACCGGCTATTTCAAACTCGGAGGGTTGGAAAAATCCAGTGTTTCCGTATGGCGCCCCGGCAGCATACCCCAGGACAGGAAGGTACAATAATTGCAGATGCGTTCGGACCGAGGGGTCCCTCACCCAGTTTGATCACTGTACACATGCAAATTTTATCACCTTTTTTATCACTTTTTATCATATTTTTATCATTTTATCAAAATTTTATCATTTTATCAATTTTTTGTCATTTTTCTCACATTTAATCAGTTTTTATCAAATTTTATCACTTTTTATCTGTTTATTTATCACTTTTTATCACTTTTTATCAGATTTAGTCATTTTTAATCAATGAGCTACTTAGAACTCCATAACTGTCGTAAAGTCATGCGACAATTTGGTTGAGTAGCTTTCATTCTTTCGTAATTCGCGTCCATAAGGAGAGATGTGACAACTGCCGGACGTGTACCAAACTCTGATCGAATATTATTTTTTTGTTTTTTATCCGATTTTCTCACTTTTTATCCGATTTTCTCATTTTTTGTCAGATTTTCTCACTTTTTATCAGATTTTCTCACATTTTTATCAGATTTTCTCACATTTTATCAGATTTTATCATTTTATCTTTTTTTGCATTTTTCTCAAATTTTATCATATTTTATCATTCTTTATCATTTTCTCTCATTTTTTATCATTTTATCATTTTTTATCTTTTATCACTGTACACGAAAAATCGGAGTGAGGGACCCCTCGGTTCGGACCCAATGAACTCCTTGAGGAACGCGACTGAAGGAGTGCACATGGCATGCTGTATTCCAGAGGCTTGCTCTCCTGGACCTGGAGGGGCACCATGCTGGACTTCAGAGCCTGCCAGACTCCCAGATTGCCTCAGCTCTTGCCCTGTACTGAGCCGGCTGGGCACTAGGCCAGGCGACGCACGCTACGCACGCCGCGACTGCGGAGCAGGTGACATAACCCGTACAGGGCAGGGCCGCGTCCGCCGCGTCCAATCTGGACCAGCATCACGTGACAGATAAAACTGGGGTGTATTTAACCGGCTGGTGGAGCGTGTGCGTGGGGCACCCACAAAAAGGGTGTGTGACGAACGTCAGTCAGAGTCTTAACCGAGGCGTACTTCACCAAAAGAAATATCAGTGCACCCCATTGCTCCCAAAATGTTGGAAAAAATATTAAAAATTGAGGGAACGTCAATTGAAAAAGTCAGAGAAGATCAAGGAAAAATCCACAAATAACAAGACAGAAAAATGAGAAAAAAATAATTATAAACATTAGAAAACGTTAAGTCGGTGTACGCTCGAATTTACAGTGAAACACACCTCGGTTCGGTCTTAACAGGGAAACTGGCCAACCAGCGTAGTCGTCCAAACTGTCAAAGTAAAATTAAATCGAAACGACTACGACTGCCCAATGTTTGCGTATCTTGCCAGAGGGTGCTCCCCATTCCACTCCATTCCCGCTTCCCGGATCGTTTTGTCGTTCGAGTGGTTCCGCCAATCTACCCCCTCCCCGGCAGCACCCTGGGACGGGGCCGGCGGCGCCACTGCGCCTCAACTACTTGGCAGGCCCGCCTGACTGCCGGGAACGTTGGGTTGCCTGCGGTCACGGCGCATCGGAGGATGAAGCGCGTTGCGCGTTCGCGCTGGAAGGAGAAGGTAGAACAGGCACTGCCAGTGAAAGAATCGACACAACAACCGTAACATTTATCATAATTATAATTAACTATATTCAGGAGAGCGCAAACTCGAGACTAGTCTGTGTCTATTGGACTACTAAAATAACAAAAAATAAAGTCATGGACATTTTGATTTTTTGGTTCATGTAAGGCACAGGGTAATAATAGGAGATGAGGCTTTCTGATTTGCTAAGGTAACAACAGTCGCACAAACACAACACTTGTATGCTTATTGTAACCTTTAAGTGCATGATTTTTGGTATGATGATGTAAGTTTTCTGTTTTTATCTTGTGTGTGAAAATAGCGAAAAGTGGTGATCACTCGTGTGTGTGCGTGCGTGTGTGTGTGTGTGTGTGTGTTTGTGCGTTATATCACAGTCAATGCAGCAGCAGCAACAACAACAACAGGAAGCAGACGCCCCGGCAACAGCGGCACAAGGGTCCCGGGGGAGGCAGCTCATTCCTCGTCCGCTTCCTCATCTTCCTCGACGTCGTCGTCGCTCTTCTTGTAGTAGCCGCCGCCCAGGTTGTGGCCCAGGTCGTGGCCCAGGTCGTGGCCGCCAAGCTCGTGGTGCTCCTCCTTCTTGACGTACACGGGCACCTTCACCTTCTTGACGTGGTGGTGGTGCACGTGGTGGATCTTGGTCGGCACGTGGATGCGCACGTGCGTGCTGCGGGCAGAGGACATCACATGTCAAGCACGCCAGGAGCAAAAGAACGAGGGTGCGTCGGGCACGTCACGGTTAAGAAAAAGTCCAGGGTGCCCCGCCACCATCGAGCACGACCAGCGTCAAGACTATGGGCGCAGTTGTGGTACTCACTGGTGGTGGCCGGAGTTGCCAGGCTCCGGCGCGGGCATGCAGGTCGCCACGACGACGAGGGTGGCCACCACGACGAACACCACCTGCAGCAGAGACATCGCCGCGGCGAGGAGTGAGTCACTTTGACGCCATGTCGCCACGGAGTCGACCGGTTTGGAACTGTAAGGGATAGGGCGGAGCCCACCTCGCCCCGCCCCGCTCTACCCCACCCTGCCCTACCTCGACC